GAGCAGAATGGAAAAGAGAAGAGAGAAGGAGAGAAAAGAGAGAGAAAAAGAGTGCAAAATAGAGGTCCTGGCGGAACCCTCTGAGATGGGTCTAAATTGATGCTCCATTGATTACCTGACTGTCCTGTGTTCCTCTCATTAGAAGGGTGTTTTAATGATGCCTCTGGTTCCTGGGTAGTAGTTTCCACTGATACTATGTCGCATAGTCCTTAAAATGTCTGAACACCTCTCTTTCTCCAGTAATGGCTACCTATGTATATGGTGGTAGATCTTTCGGGGAAGACTGGGGCAGTTATTACTGGATTTACTTGTCATGGTGACATTGGGTCTTAATTTCTGGTGCCCCAGTTTCCTTTCCATGTGATAGATACTAAGTCTGAGAGCTGACTCAATTCAGGAGACTTTCCATTGGAGGGACTGCCCTTAGCCTTCTTGTTCATTCTTGATCTTTTTCGAATATGTACACAAAGCAGTAATCTTGCTGGTTGCCCTTGTGTCTTGTCCTAAGGACACCATGTTCTATTAGCCATCTCCAAACATCATGCAATTCAGACTCCTTCTACCTGCCGTTTCAGCTCTTCTGCCTACCAGGGTCAGCATGCTCACTTTGCACCTTACAGTTAAGTGTTCACACCTGGCCTCTGTTCTTCTGGTTACCTACATCCCCTTGTTATTGGGGACCTCAGTCCTGTAATATGAGCTGCCTGAAACAATACACTCTTTAACAACACATGTTTTCATGGTTTTTTGATTTTTTCTTTTTTGCTTTCTTTTATCACCTTTCTAGGCAAAGTGTCCTCCAGGATTTGTAGAAATATTATCAGCTGGTTGGGATTTTAGTCTTCAATAGCAGAGCCATTATAGCATTTCACTTTTCTAAGCCTTTTGGTTGCTTCCTTCATAGTCTTCCAAAGCAATTTATGGCATTCCTGTTAATTTAATGAATGCTGTCACTTTATCCAAACTTCTATGAATCAGCAAGTACCATTTATTAGATTCATTTCCAGTCTCCTTGCCTGAGTGTTAAATTTTGGATGATTGGGAGTGGCTCCTTATCAACAGCTTTCCCTTATCCAGCTTTTATTCCAACCACCCCTTGATCCACTCTTTTCTGGATCCCCTCCCAGGGCCTGCTGACGCATGTTAGCTTTGGTGTAGGAAATCTGGTGTGTGACACCCGCTTTCTTTTTTTTTTTTTTTTTTTTTTTTTTTTTTTTTTTTTTTTGACAGGCAGAGTGGACAGTGAGAGAGAGAGACAGAGAGAAAGGTCTTCCTTTTGCCGTTGGTTCACCCTCCAATGGCCGCCGCGGCCGGCGCACCGCGCTGATCCGATGGCAGGAGCCAGGAGCCAGGTGCTTTTCCTGGTCTCCCATGGGGTGCAGGGCCCAAGCACCTGGGCCATCCTCCACTGCACTCCCTGGCCACAGCAGAGGGCTGGCGTGGAAGAGGGGCAACCGGGACAGAATCCGGCGCCCCGACCGGGACTAGAACCCGGTGTGCCGGCGCCGCAAGGCGGAGGATTAGCCTAGTGAGCCGCGGCGCCGGCCAACACCCGCTTTCTGATAGCAGCTTCAGCTCCCCCAGTTTATGCTGAGATTTAACCCTGTGTATGAATCTGGTAGATGAAGATAAGAAGGACACAGATCCTGAAGAAGACGAGCATTGTCTTGTAAGGCTCCTTCCTTAATTGACCTCTCTGTGCCTTCCTGATCTAAGGGTAGGGGCTGTCTCTTTCAACAGGAGACATTTCTATAACCAGGGTAGTTCAGAAGAATGAGTTTTCAAGGTCCTCAACTTCGTTTACCCAGAAGTCTTCATATCTAAACTAAGGATCTCACTCATTCTTCACCAGGGGCCTGACTTCGGTGTGGAAGACTTTTTTGGCTGAATGAATCTTCTGTGAATTCTGTTATTTTACAATGGATTTCTAAGTTTGTTCTTCATTTTGGCTACCCTTTGACTTCAGGGAAGGAATTCTCTTTAAATGGCATCAAAGGGCCCAATTCCATGGTTTGGAGATGGCATGAGTGTGCACCCCAAAGATTCACATGCTAGAGGCTTGGAACTCATTGTGGCAATGCTGAGAGGTGGTGGAGTCCTTAAAATGTGGAGCCTGGTAGAAGGTAATTAGGTCATGGTACTATCCTTGGCAGGGATTAATGCTGGTTATTCAGATTAGATTAATTCTTAGGAGGATGATTTGTTATAAAGCAAGTCTGGCTATCTTAGCGTTCTCTTGCTCTCTCCCTCTTAGTCTCTCTTGATTCCTGTTTCACTATGTGACCTATTCCACATGCACTCCCACCCTTTTGATGCCATCCACTATGAGACTCTCACCAGAGTCAAAATCCAGTGCCTCTTGAATCTTCAGAGCTGTGAGTTCAGTAAATCCCTTTTCTTTATGAGGTACTCAGTCTCAGTTATTTTGTTATAGCAACAGAAGATGGACTGATACACTCTCTGATTCTCACTTTTTCTTTTTATTTGAAATTTGTTTGACATATTATTTGTATTGATTCTTGGGGTTCAATTACTATTGTTTATCTTCAAATTTACTAATTCTTTCTTCTGTAAGTTAAAATACACTGCTGAACTCATCTAGTAAAATTTTTATTTCATTTATTGTGCTTCTGGACTGCAGAATTTTCATTTGGCTTTTTAATAATTTTTGTGTTTTTGTTCGTATTCTCTATGCAGAGAAATGTCATCATGGTTTGTTTCTTAAGCATTATTTCCTTTAATTCTTTGCGCATATAGAGACTACTTTAAAGTTAAACATGATGTCTATTCTCTCAGATACCATTTCTGTTGCCTGCTTTTCCTCTTGTGAATTTGTCACAGTTTTGTGGGTTTTTTTTTTTTTTTTGGCTTATGTAAAGATTTGTTGGAGGGAGGGAGGGAGGAAGGGAGAGAGAGTTCTTTTATCTGCTGGTTCTTGCTCCGGATTCCCAATTTGAATCCCTTTGATTTATTTTTGCTGTCTAATGGCTCTGGATAAAACTTCCACAACTATATTGAATAGCAATGGCGAGAGTGGGCAGCCTTGTCTGGTTCCGAATCTCAGTGGGATTGCTTACAACTCTGTCCCATTCAGTACAATGCTGGCTGTGGGTTTGTGATGAATTGCCTTGATTGTGTTGAGAAATGTTCCTTCTATACCCATAATGAAAAGGTATTGTATTTATCAAATGCTTTCTCTTCATCTATTGATATAAGCATATGATTTTTGTTCTTCAGTTTGTTAATGTGATGTTAAAAGATGTAATGGAAAAGGTGGAAAGTGTATATAAATGTGAGGAATTTTGTCAGAGACACAAACCTTTATAAAAAATCCAATGAAATCTAATGAAAATGTTATAAATAAAAAACATGATACATAGGATGAGGAATTCCTTTCATGGAATCATCAGTACACTCAACACAACTGAATAATGAGTTAACAAACTTGCAAATAGGCTTTGCACAGTTCATGTTTATTAAGTTTGCTCCTCTCTAATTTTGTGAGCCATATTATTTTGTATTTCTGTCAGAAACAGGTAAAAGCTCCTATTCTCCAACATTCATGCCAACACTCAGTACTCCAGCTTTATTTTTTCCAATTGGATAGTTGTGAAATAAAGTCAATGGCTAAGTAAACTCTAGCAGTTACTTAACCTCTCTGAGATTCTGTTTGTTTATCTTTTAAAAGCCTCCCTCTTTTGGTTATGGAACTAGAAAAAATGGCATTCCTATAACCATAAGAGATCTTCCTGGAAATTAGGCATGCTTTTGTTTAAGTAAAACCCTCCCTTTCTTCAGCCAATATAGTCCCATCAGAGCTGAATGCTTGGCTCAAAAAGCGTGAGCTGGCTGAATTTAAGGTCCCATTCACCACTTTGGTGCTGTTAACCTCACAAACTACTCAGTCATGATGACAGTTTTCAGAGTATGTGAAATTTTCACAACTACATTGCCAAATAGCCAAGTCCTAGAATTTCTAAAGATCTGGGAGCGAAAAGGATAGGCTCTCATTTAAAAAATTCTGTCCACAGAAGAGAGATACAGAAGAATACTGATAGTGCTGAGTTTGGGAGACACAGAACCAAATACATCATGAAGTTTGAAGTCTTAGAAAAGTATAAACAGAAATCATGTTTTAAGCAGCTATAGCACACAGAATGCTGCCTTTGAAATGAATCATTTAATTCTCTCTATGCATGTCCTTGAATTACAAGTATTCTGATCCCATAAAATACCCTATGATGGTTTCGTAGCAAATTGTAGAAAATGTTACATTTACTTTGAAATCGTAATGGGGCCCAGATCATATAATCAACAGCCAGAAAAAAAGGAGTCTTAAAGTATTTATGTTCATCTCAAGAAATTTCAGGGGCCAGTGTTGTGGCACAGTGGGCTTAGCCTCTGCCTGCAGTGCCAGCATGCCATATGGGCATCAGCTCATGTCCCAGCTGTTCCTCTTCCAATCTAGCTCTCTGCTATGGCCTGAGAAAGCAGCAGAAGAAAGCCAAGTGCTTAGGCACCTACACCCATGTGGGAGACCCAGAAGAAGCTCCTGGCTCCTGGCTTCAGATGGGAGCTCAACACTGGCCGTTGCAGCCATTTGGGGAATGAACCAGCAGAGGGAAGACCTTTCTCTCTGTTTCCCCCATCTCTGTCTGTAACTCTGCTTCGCAAATAAATAAAAATATTTTTTTTGACAGGCAGAGTTAGACAGTGAGAGAGACAGAGAGAAAGGTCTTCCTTTCTGTTGTTTTACCCCCCCAAATGGCCGCTATGGCCGGCGCACTGCACCAATCCGAAGCCAGGAGCCAGCTGCTTCCTCCTGGTCTCCCATGCGGGTGCAGGGCCCAAGCACTTGGGCCACCCTCCACTGCCCTCCCGGGCCACAGCAGAGAGCTGGACTGGAAGAGGAGCAAGCGGGAGAGAATCTGGCGCCCCGACCGGGACTAGAACCCGGTGTACCGGTGCTGCAGGTGGAGGATTATCCTAATAAATAAAAATCTTTAAAAAACTGCACACAGCATACAAGCAAGCAACAGTTAATGAAGGACCAGCGCTCATCTCTACCTATTCTCTGATGTGGAAACTCACTTCCTCTCTTCTCCCAGGAAATACAGGTTCAGCGCAAGACCGTAAACAAATTAATTGGGCTAACAGAACTCTTATAAACATGTATGTGTTTTCTTTTACTAGTACCTTCCACATCCTAAGAATATGCCTCCTTGGGTTCAACAATGGAAACAAGCAGAAACTAAGGTTAAGAGACTCCAGTGGGCAGAGAATTTCAGTATCCGCTGGGCTGCTGTAATTGGAACTTGGGCATACGATTTAATTTTTGCAGTGATAATGCAAGAGAGGAATGAGGATTTTCTCACTTGCTGAATAATCCACAGTGAGAACCACACCACCAAAACTGATGCAGAAATGCTTATCTCTTAGGAGTTGACAGCAACATCCCACTCCCATATCAAATGGCCTCTTTGACCTTGTCACTCCTGAGAGTAAAGATGAAAGGGTTCAGGAAAGGGATCACCATGGAAACCAGCAGTGATACTATCCTGTTGTAATCAGCTGCCTGTGTTTGCTAGGGTTTCACGTAAAGAAACAAGTAGCTGGTTCCAAGACGGTGGAATAGGAACAGGACAGTCCAAATCAAACAAGGCAAAATTAATATTTAAAAAGGGGAGAAACAGGCTGGCACTGTGGCTCACTTGGCTAATCCTCCACCTGCGGCGCCGGCATCCCAGGTTCTAGTCCCAGTTGGGGTGCCGGGTACTAGTCCCAGTTGCTCCTCTTCCAGTCCAGCTCTCTGCTTCTGGCCTTGGAAGGCAGTGGAGGATGGCCCAAGTGCTTGGGCCCCTGCACCCACATGGGAGACCAGGAGGAAGTACCCGGCTCCTGGCTTCAGATCAGCTTAGCACCGGCTGTAGCGGCCATTAAGGGAGTGAACCAACGGAAGGAAGACCTTTCTCTCTGTCTCTCTCTCACTGTCTATAACTCTCTGTCTCTCTCTCTCTCACTGTCTAATTATGCCTGGCCAAAAAAAAAAAAAAAAAGTGTGTGTGGGGGGGAATACAAGCCTAAGATAAAGCCATGGGAAATTTGCAGCAGGAAACCTAGGGAAAACCACAGAGATGGTCCAGGTCCTCACTGAAAGAGCATATAAAAAAAAAGGAGGGCCAGCGCCATGCAGTAGGTCAATCCTCCGCCTGCTGCACCGGCATCCCATATGGGCGCCAGTTCTAGTCCCAGCTGCTCCACTTCCCATCCAGCTCTCCGCTGTGGCTTGGGAAGGCAGTAGAAGATGGCCCAGGTCCTTGGGCCCCTGCACCCACATGGGAGACCCGGAGGAAGCTCCTGGCTCCTGGCTTGGGATTGGCGCAGCTCCAGCCATTGCGATTACCTGGGGAGTGAACCAACAGATGGAAGACCCTCCTCTCTGTCTGTCCCTCTCGCTGTCTGTAACTCTCTCAAATAAATAAATAAATAAATAAAATATTAAAAAAAAAAAAAACAGAGTGGAGGCTCAGACCTGGGGAAGAAAATGCCTGCCCTGGCAGATCAGGTGAGAGGGGAATCCACGGGCACATGGAGCTGTGGATAGCAGTGGGAGGGAGAGTTTGGTGAACTGCTTTTAAGTTCCACACAAGTAAAAGAATAAATAAGGAGGTGGAGCACCTCCCTCCTCTCCACTCTCCCACCCTGCAGAGACCTGTAGCCTGCTGGGAAAAGCCATTTTGCTCCTTTGTTCGTGTTTTGGACGCAGGCAGGTGGTTGCCACCCCTACCTCCGTGTGCGAGCCTAGCAATAGCAGGGGTTGCCTCAACCCCCACCCAAACAACAAGGGCCACACAATTCAGAATAATTCCTTCCCCACCACCACCAATGCAAGCTGTACAGCAAGGGGAAGCACCACCTATGGGAAGCTCATGCCCACTCACCACCATGAGGAGTGAGCCAAGATCCAGTAGGCAGGGGCACTGCATATTCATCCAATACCTACAGACCTATAGCAACTCATAACAGGGGAACCATGTGCCCAAAAAAGACTCCACAGATCAAAGGTGTAGTTCATTAAGCAGTGGGAATGAGTGCTGAACACACCAGGGACTAACATCAGGGCATTCTGCAGCTGTGAGGAGAAGGGCGGGTCACACACCCTCCTCCACCCAGATAACCAGAGGAGAGCTACAGAGCCCCATGAGGGCCTTACCTTGGATACTTATCAGGGCACCCAGGCACACCCAGCACACACCTCTTGGTGAGACATCCCACTAAGCCACAAAGACAAAAGCCAAGATAAAAGCCACCAGACAATAAAATAAAAAACCTAAACACTATAATACGTCAACTGTAGAAGGTGAAGATGAAGAGACTGAGAATATGCTGGGAATGGAATTCCAAAGATTAATCATCAGATTACTTAGAAGCCATCAGAAGCAAATTCACAAATTAAATGAAAAATTTTCACATGAAATTGATATTAAAAAGAAATCAGATTGAAATGCTAGAAATGAAGAATTCAATAGATCAAATAAAAATGCAGTGGAATTCTTAACAACAGCATAGGTGAGGAAAAAGAAAGAACATCTGAACTAGAAAACAAATTTCTGGAAATTTTACAGTTAGACAAAAAAAAAAAGAAGAAAAATTAGAAAACTAAAAAACACTATTAGAGATCTACAAGATTCTATCAAGTGACCTAACATATGGGTCTGGGTCAGGAACTCCCGAAGGCATGAAAAGAGAGAAAGGATTATAAGGCGTTTTTAACGAAATAGTAATGGAAAATTTCCTGAATTTGGAGAAAAAAGGGACATCCAAATACAGGAAGAACACAGAACTCCCAATAGACACAACCAGAAAAGATCTTCACCACAACACGTTGCAGTAAAACTCCCCACAATAAAACATAAAGATTCTAAAATGTGTGAGAGAAACACCTGCTCACATTCAGAGGAACTGCAATTAGACTCACAGTGGACTTCTCATCAGAAACCCTGCAGGCTAGGAGAGAATGGCAAGATATATTTCAAGTCTTAAGAGAAAAAAACTGTCAACCCAGAATACAGTACCCTGAAAATCTCTCATTTATGAATGAAGGTGAAATAAAGACCTTCCATAACAAACAGAAAATGAATTTGTAACTACCTGACCAGCTCCAAATAGATGCTCAAGGATGTGGTACACACAGAAACAAAGAAACATGGTCATCACTATGAAAGAAGGTGAAGGCAGAAAATCCCCCAGTAAAAGTACAAAGGAAACCCAAAGTAAAAAAATAGAGGACTATTAATGGAAATATGGCAGGCAAAGACATTACATAACAATAGTCACCCTGAATGTAGATGGCCTCAGCTCTACAGTTAACCAACCGACCGGTTGAATGCATTCAGAAACAAAACCCATTTACTTACTGTCTACAAAAAACACATCTCATCAAGAAAGATGCATGCAGACTGAAAGAGAAAGGATGGAAAAAGATAATCCATGCTAACAGAAACCAAAAAAGAGCTGGTGTAGCCATCCTAATAGCAGACAAAATAAATTTTCACACAAAAACTATTAAAAGAGACAAAGAAGGGCACAAAATAATGATTAAGGGATCAATTCAACAGGAAGATGTGACTATTATAAATGCATATGCATCTAATTACAGGACACCTGGCTATCTAAAAGAAATGTTAATGGATTTAAAGGGAGACACAGGGCCAGCACCATGACTCAATAGGTTAATCCTCCACCTGCAGCGCCAGCATCCCAGGTACTAGTCCCCGTCGGGGCGCCGGATTCTCTCCCGGTTGCTCCTCTTCCAGTTCAGCTCTCTGCTGTGGCCCAGGAGGGCAGTGGAGGATGGCCCAAGTCTTTGGGTACTGCACCCGCATGGGAGACCAGGAGAAGCACCTGGCTCCTGGCTTCAGATCAGCGTGGTATGCCAACCACAGCACGCCAGCCACAGCGGCCATTGGGGGGTGAACCAATGGAAAAGGAAGACCTTTCTCTCTGTCTCTCTCACTGTCCACTCTGCCTGTCAAAAAAAAAGGGAGACACACACTCAAATACAATATAATGGGGGACTTCAATACCCCACTTTTAACAATGGACAGATCAACAAGAACAGAAAATCAGCAAGGAAACACAAGAGTTAATTGACACTATAGGCCAAATGAACCTCACAGATATCAACAGGGCTTTACATCCTACAGCCACAGAATACAGATTCTTCTCACCAGCATGGAACTTTCTCAGGATTGACAATATCCTAGGCCATAAAGCAAGTCTCAGAAAATTCAAAAAAAATCAAAATCATACTATGCATATTCTGTGACCACAATGGAATGAAGCTTGTAATCAACAACTCAGGAATCCCCAGAACATATGCAAACACATGGAGAATGAACAACATGATCCTGAATGAAGAGTGGGTCATAGAAGAAATCAAAAGAGAAATCAAAGTTTCTGGAAATAAATGAAGATGACAATCCAACATATCAAAACTTTAAAAGCAGTGTTAATAGGAAAGTTTATAGCAATCAGAGCCCACATAAAGCACCAAATAAATGAGCTATCAATGCATCTCAAGGATCTAGAAAAACAATAGCAAACTAAACCCAAAACTAGTAGGAGAAAAGAAATAATTAAAATTAGAGAAGAAATCAACAAAATTGAAACCAATAAAACAATATAAAAGATCAGCAAAACGATGAGCTGGTTTTTTGAAAAAATAAATAAAATTGACACACTGTTGGCCCTACTAATCAAAAAAAAGTGGGGGAGACCCAAATGAATAAAATCAGAGTTGAAAAAGGAAATGTAACAACAGACACCACAGAAATAAAAAGAATAATCAGAAATTACTACAAACTGGAAAATGTAGCAGAAATGGATAGGTTCCTGGACACACATGATCTACCTAAATTGAGCCATGAAGATAGAAAACCTAAACAGACCAAGAAAGAACGCGCATTAGTCATAAAGACCCTCCAAACAAAGAAATGCCCAGGACAGGATGGCTTTACTGCTGAATTCTACCAAAAATTTAAATAAGAACTAACTCCAATATTTCTCAAGCTATTCATGACAATGAAAAGGGAAAGAATCCTCCCAAATTCTTTCTACAAAGCCAGCATCACCTTAATTCCTAAACTCGAAAAAGATAAAACAGAGAAAGAGAACTAAAGACCAAACTCTCTGATGAATATAGATGCAAAAATCCTCAACAAAATACTAGCCAATTGAATCCAACAACACATCAGAAAGCTCATTCACCCAGACCAGCGGGACTTATTTCTGGTATGAAGGAATGGTTCAACATTCACAAATCAATGTGATACATCACATTACAAATTGAAGAATAAAAACCATATGATTATTTCAATAGATGCAGAGAAAACATTTGACAAAATACAATATCCTTTCATGATGAAAACTCTAAGCAAATCGGAAATAGAAGGAACATTTCTCAACACAATTAAGGCAATTTATGACAAACCCATTCCCAATGTCCTATTGAATGGGACAAAGTTGGAAGCAATCCCACTGAGATCTGGGACCAGACAAGGGGGCCCACTGTCACCACTGCTTTTCCATATAATCCTGGAACTTTTATCCAGAGCCATCAGGCAATAAAAAAAATCAAAGGGATACAAATTGGGAAGGCGGAACTCAAAATATTCCTACTTGCAGATGACATGATCCTATACACAGGGGATCCAAAAGACTCCACTCAGAAACTATTGGATGTCATAGATGAGTTTGGAAATGTAGCAGGATATAAAATCAACACACAAAAATTAACAGCCTTTGTATATGCAGACAATGCCATGGCTAAAAATAAGCTTCTAAGATCAATACCATTCATATTAGCTACCAAAAAATCAAATACCTTGGAATAAATTTAACCAAGGATGTCAAATATCTCTATGATGAGAATTATAAAACATTAAAGAAATAGAAGATACAAAAAATGGAAAATCTTTTTGTTCATGTATTGAAAGAATCAAAATGTCCACACTAATGAAAGCAATTTACAGATTATATGTGATACTAATCAAAATACCAAAGACAATCTTCTCAGATATAGAAAAATGATATTGAAATTTATATGAAAACATAGGAGACCCTAAATAGCTAAAGAAATCTTATACAACAAAAACAAAGCCAAGATTTCACAATACCAGATTTCAAGACATACTACAGGGCAGTTACAATCAAACAGCCTGGTACTGGTACAAAAACAGATGGATAGACCAGTGGAACAGAATAGAAACACCCAAAATCAAACCAACCATCTACAACCAACTTATCTTTGACAAATGTGCTAAAACCAATCCCTTGAGCAAGGACAATCTCTTAAACAAATGGTACTGGGAAAACTGGATTTTCACATGCAGAAGTATGAAGCAAGACCCCTGCCTGACACCTTTCACCAAAATCTACTCAAAATAGACTAAAGACCTAAATCTAGGACCTTACACCTTCAACTTATTAGAGAACATTGGGGAAACCCTATAAGACTTAGGTATAGGCAAAGTGTTCTTGGAAAAACCCCAGAGGCACAGGCAATCAAAGCCCAAATTGACAAATGGGATTACATAAAACTGAGAAGCTTCTGTACTGCAAAGAAATAACCAGCAGAATCAGAGAAAATATTCACTAACTATACAACTGATAAAGGATTAATAACCAGAATATACAGAGAGATCAAGAAACTCAACCAAAAAAACAAACAATCTGGTTAAGAATTGGCAAATGAGTTAAATAGACATTATTCAAAAGAGGAAACCCAAATGGCCAGCAGACACATGAAAAAATGCTCAGGTTCACTAGCAATCAGAGAAATACAGATCAAAACCACAATGAGGTTTCACCTCAACCCTGTTAGAATGGCTCACATACACAAATCAACAAACATCAAATGCTGGTGAGGATGTGGGGAAAAGGTACTCTAATCCATTGTTGTTGAGAATTTAAATCGGTAAAGGCAAAATGGAAGACAGTGTGGAGATATCTCAGAGGTCTGAATATATACCAACCACATGACCCAGCCATCCCACTCCTGGGAATCTACCCAAGGGAAATGAAAACAGCATATAAAAGAGCTATCTGTACCTCCATATTTATTGCAGCTCAATTCACAAGCACAAAGACATGGAATTAACACAAAGGCCCATCAACTAAAGACTGTATAAAGAAATTATGGGATATGTACACCATGGAATACTCACAGCAATAAAAAAAATGAAGTCCGGTCATTTACAACAAAATGGATGAAACTGGAAAACATCATACGTAGTGAAACAAGCCAGTTCAAAAGCACAAATTCTATATGTTCTTCCTGACTTGTGATAACTAACAGAGCACCTAAAAGGCATTATATAGAAATAAAATTGACTTTTAAGAAGCAACGATTTTGAATTTTTTTATTTTAAAGTTTTTATTTAATGAATCCATTTTTCAAAGGTACAACTTTAGAAATAAAGTGGTTCTTTCCCTCAAACCCAGCCTCCCACCCTGACTCCCATCCTACCTCCCTCTCTCTCCCATCCCCTTCTTCATTATGGTTCATTTTTAGTTTCATTTTATATACAGAGGACCAACTCTATGTTAAGCACTGATTTCAACAGTTTGCATCCCCTCACATACATACAACATATACAGTACAGTTTGAGAACAAGATTTGCAGTTAATTCTCATAGTATAACTCATTAAGGACAGAAGTCCTACATGGGGAGTAAATGCACAGTGACTTCTGTTATTACTTTAACTATTAACACTCTTATTTATGACATCAGTGATCACCCGAGGCTCTTGCTATGGGCTGCCAAGGCTATGGAAGCCTTTTGTGACCATAGACACCATCAGTATTTGTACACAGGCATAAGCAAAGTAGATGTTCTCTCTTCCCTTCAGAGAAAAGTACATCCTTCTTTGATGGCCCCTTCTTTCCACTGAGGTCTCTCGGAGATCCTTCATGTAGGATATGTTTTGCCAGAGTCTTGGATTTCCATGCCTGAAATGCTCTCACAGGCCTTTCAGCCAGACCAGGAAGCCTTAAGGGTTGATTCTGAGGTCAGAGTGCTATTTACAGTGAATGTAACTCTAGGAGTTTGCTGTGTGGACTGGAGAATCAATGATTTTAAACAATCCTTCACTTGAGTATTGAGGAACAGCTTTTGATTCTATACTTTTATCTTTTTTCCTTCATAATATTTTTCTTATCTTTTTTCTTTCATATAAATATTGAACTCTTTACTTAACACAGAGTTAAACATATATGTACAAAGGTAATTGAAAATAGATATTAGTAAAGAATGAGAATAAGAAAAGGAAGAGGAAGGGGGTGGGAGTGGGGGTGGGAGAGTGGGCACAGTGGGAAGAATTATCAAGATCCTAAAGCTGCAATTGTGAAATGTAAGAATTTTGTAACTGCAAAGCAGCATAGTCCTGCTTACATTCCTACGGACTTACTTCTAAGGGTACAGCTTAACAACTTGCCATAGGACCCAAATTCCCTTAAGCTGGCTGGTAAAAATAGCAGCTGAAGTGTTATAAAGATCAAATAGATAGGATTAAGTGGTAAAGTGACCATATAGATAGGATCAAGTGTTAAAATGATCATATAAATAGGACTAAGTGTTTGGAAACAATGATAGACAACTAAAAAGAAGTGAAGGCTCCAACATAGGAAGCAGTACATACAGAAGACTCATAGAATGAAAACTGCATTAAGCGTTAAGTAACACTCTGTCCTCAGAATCAGCCTTGGGGCCAGTGCCATGGCTCACTTGGTTAATCCTCCACCTGCGGACCTGGCATCCCATATGGGTGCCAGGTTCTAGTCCTGGTTGCTCCCCTTCCAGTCCAGCTTTCTGCTTTGGCCCAGAAAGGAAGTGGAGGATGGCCCAGGTGCCTGGGCCCCTGCACCCACATGGAAGACCAGGAGGAAGCACCTGGCTCCTGGCTTCAGATTGGTGTAGCTCCAGCTGTAGTGGCCATTTGAGGGGGAGGATGAACCAATGGAAGGAAGACCTTTCTCTCTCTAACTCTGTCAAAAAATAAATAAATAAATAAAAAAGAATCAGTCCTTGAGGCATTCTGGTCTGAAAAGTCCAGGGGGAGCATTTTAGGCATGGAATGCCAAGACACTCTGGCAACAAACATCCTACATAAAGGACCCCTGTGGGTGAGACCCCAGTTGAAAGAAGTGGCCACCAAAGAAGGATGTACTTTTCTCTGAAGGGAGGAGAGAACTTCTACTTTGCTTATGGCCTTTTCTAAATACTGTAGGAATCTGTGGACCCAAAAGGCTTCCATAGCCTAGGCAGCTCACGTCAAGAGCCTTGGGTTATCACTGATGTCATCTATAGGAGTGTTATTTGTTAAATAAACAAGAATCACTGTGCACTAATTTCCAATGCAGGACCTCTGTCCCCAAAGAGTTGTAAGATGAGACATAATAGTAAAATCTGTTCTCAAAAATCACTTCCTTTTACTGTATTAAATGGATGATATTATTATGTCTCTAAGTTATAGTTATGTCTAAGAACTTGCAAAAGATGTATCATCCTTGGGTTCTTCTTTAAAGACAATTAGGTTTCTAAAAAGAAAGAAGGGGGAGGAAGGAAGGGAAAAGAGGTAGGGGAGAGCAAAATCACCTTCAAGAAGCAATGACATAGAACAGCCCTGTCTAGACTGTTGAGGAACAGTTGGAACAGTTCTCTTAGTTATTTTTATTACATTCTTTCTCTTTTTTTCTTTTTCTTTTTCTGTCTCAAACTATATAGGAGATGGAGGAGAAAGGAGGGGGAGAATGGGTGGAGGGCAGGTATGGTGGGAAGAATTACTATGTTCCTAATGTTTTATTTTTGAGATACAAACAAATAAACAAAAAAGAAACAAGTAACTGTCGTAGCCAATCACAACAAAGGTGAAGTGGGAGGCACACGTGGAGAAGGCTTTCTTCTGGCCAGAGGCTCAGGTGATCTTGAGGATGGTGGGAGTGATATAGGTGTAGGAGACAGTGAGATCACACAATCAATGATAATGGAAACAGCCCTTAAGAAAACAATAAACTCTGTAAAAAGAGTGTCATCACAGGATAGTTTGAGTAACTGTCCCCGATCATAGTAAAAGTGGTCTAACAGATTTGATTTGCAGAAGGTAAATTGAAATGTGGCATAGACTGACCAGAATCCAGAGAGAAACCCAAATGTCCATGATGCAATGACCGCCCAGATGCAGCTACAGCTGTTAATAATTATGTAGTTATCTCAAGGAGTTACAGATAGACACACAACACTTTTCGGTCATTGCTCCAAGTAGTCTGAACTCTGTGGTCCCCCAAAAAAGGTAGAGGAAGAGCTGGACAATACATACAGCCAAAGATATTGTCTATGTGCCAGGGAGCAGCAATCCCCACAGCATCACAGGGATGATTATGGTTTTGACAAGGATCTCCAGGACAGAGAGGTTGCTGAGGAAAACATACAAGAGGAATTCAGGTGATGATCAACACAGACAATGATGATGATGACTCTGCTACCCATTAATGTCACTGAATAGAAGAACAGGAACCAAGTGAAAAGAGCTTGATGGAGTTCATGGGATGCAGGGAAGCCTAGAAGGCAGAACTCAGTGGCACCTAAATGACTGTCCATTATCAAGTCCTGCTCTGCTTCTCGTGAAACTTAGAGACCAAAGGAGAGTTACTCCCAAGAGAAGGAAGATTGGAATGTGGAACCATTTCCAACCTGATGTTCAGGCAGTATGATATGCCCCTGCCACCGTGCTGTACACACGGCCAGAGCTAAATGATTTCACCTCAAGTCTACACACGAGTCTCCTGCTCTATGGTGGAACTAGCTCCCTGCACGGATGAAGACACATTCTTCCCTACTGAGTGAAGAACATATTCCTTATCTTTTCCCCTACTGAATGGGCTTTCTCACAGTAGCAGAGGCTCATACCTTTTGTATAGTCTAGTTTTGATGGTGAGTCAATGAGGCCCCTCTGGTCTTGGGATTGTTTGACTTTCTCTTAGGTGAATTATACTAGGTAACATAAAGATATTGCAGATAATGTTCAGAGGATGGGACTTTGAGCTCCAGGCTTCATCTCTAATGGTAGAGCATAGACCACCATGGAATCGGAAAAGAAGAAGGAGAAGGAGAAGGAGAAGGAGAAGGAGGAGGAGGAGGAGGAGGAGGAGGAGGAGGAGGAGGAGGAGGAGGAGGAGGAGGAGGAGGAGGAGGAGGAGGAGAAGGAGAAGGAGAAGGAGAAGGAGAAGGAGAAGGAGAAGGAGAAGGAGAAGGAGAAGGAGAAGGAGAAGGAGAAGGAGAAGGAGAAGGAGAAGGAGAAGGAGAAGGAGAAGGAGAAGGAGAAGGAGAAGAAGAAGAAGAAGAAGAAGAAGAAGAAGAAGAAGAAGAAGAAGAAGAAGAAGAAGAAGAAGAAGAAGAAGAAGAAGAAATGAGACTGGAGATCTAAGACCAGCATTCCCTACTAGTTCAAGATTTTAAAAATCCATAATCCATATTGAAGAGTGGCAAGATCTGGGGCTGCCACCTGCAGTACCGGCATCCCGTATAGGCACCAGTTCGAGTCCCAGCTGCTCCATTTATGATCCTGCTCTCTGCTATGGCTTGGAAGAGCAGTGAAAGATGGCTCAAGTCCTTGGGCCCCTGCACCCACATGGGAGACCCAGAAGAAGCTCCTGGCTCCTGGTTTCAGATCGGTGTAGCTCCAGCCACTGCAGCCATCTGGGGAGTTAACCAGTAGATAGAAGACCTCTCTCTCCCTCTCTCTCCCTCTCGCTCTCCCTCTCCCTCTCGGCCTCAGCCTCTCTGTAACTCTGCCTTTCAAATAAATAAATAAACCTTCAAAAACAGAAAGAGTTTCAAGATCTCCAAATGAAAACTCTAATTTTCCAGATGCATTCTTCTCTTACTCCACTTTCCCATGCATAGCCCTAGGAGGAGATGGTACCTGGCACAGACTCAAACGCATTAGCTACCAGGGATATCTGGTTCCCTATCTCTCCATTTAACCTATTACTCAAATATTACCTCTTCAAAGGACTCTTGCCAACTACCCCTGGAACAGAAAAGGCACACTAGTTACTACACTTCAATTTTCTTCATAGCATTTGTCATATCTGATATCATATGCTTAATTGTTTATTTTATGCCTTCATTTATGTTTAAAAAATTATAGCCGGGGCAGAACCATTTAAAACACCTACCCTGTGGCATGTATGGTCAAGGGGAGTACAGATGCTATCCCATACACATGACAATAAGTAAGGCATGTAAGATATTGGTTTATTAATCATGTCCTGGAGGAAAAAAAAACAGAAAAACTAATTTGGGAGGATATGAATTTTATTTCATTAATTTATGACTCATCTATAAAATGAGCATATATACCCTATGAGGACAAGCATATGTCTTCTTCAATCTGTATTCTGAGATTGGTGTGGGAAAAGTACATATATTTACTTTTCCTTGAGAAAAAGTAAGTAAAGGGTCCAGCGCTGTGGTATAGTATGCTAAGCCTCCACCTACAGCGCTGGCATCCCATATGGATGCCGGTTCATGTCCCAGGTGCTCCTCTTCCAATAAACTCTGTTTATGGCCTGGAAAAGCAGTGGAAGATGGCCCAAGTGCTTGGGTCCCTTCACCCATGTGGGAGACTTGGAGAAAGCTTCTGGCTTTGGATTGGCCCAGCTCAGGCTATTACAGACGTTTGGGGAGTGAACCAGCAGATGGAAGGGGGGCCTTTCTCTCTGTCTTTCAAATAAATAAAATCTTTTTTTAAAAAGTAAGCAGTGATGAAAAACTAGAAGATGATGCATGCATGACCTGGGATTAAATGATACTTGTCTTAGCCATGGTCAAACCCATGTCTCTATCTATCTAGCACTGGGACAAAAGAGAGCTGAAAGTACTCGGCTGTGGAGGAGGGATTTGGGGATGAGCCAGTGCCTTCTGCTACTCCCCTAGTCCTCTCTTCACACTCCCATTGTCCTTGTTCTAGAAGGCAGCCCTGGTCAGCACCTCCCTTACACTTCATCTCCTATTCTCTCCTTCACAGAAGAGAACCGTGGGGAAGACACTCACCAATGTGGAGGGACTTCACTCACTTCTACTGTTCTGGGGTGTGGCTGAGGCTAACACCTGCTGCCCAGTCCTGAGACATGCACAGAGAGCAGAGCCACCTGCTGCTGTCCCCACTTACGGTAGGGAAGGAAACTGTCCTCACAGAGGAGTATAGCAGACAGTTCAGAAACAACAATGCCACTGTGTTGTGCAAAGCTGAAGGTCGCCCTCCCTTTCTCATTCCATTCTTCTCCCCTTTCCCAAGGGGATCTACTCACTGAGGTACCTCTTCTTAACTAGCTCAAGTTTAGGAAATCCCTAAGCAATCAACCAGGAAAAAGAACAGACTTTTAGTCATTCCCATTTTTAACTAATTAAGTTTTAGAACTTTTGAAAGTTCTTGTTTAGTGGGAAAACCTGGAATCTTACCAGCCAGGAATGCATCAATACCAGGGACCAGGGCTGTCTTTCCCCAAGTTCCTAAGTCCAGGTTTCCATAAGATATCTCAGACTCAAAGCAGTTCACTTCCATCCTTCAGCCAAGGCTCTTCTTGGGATTCACTTAGTTGTTTGAAGCCAAAACTAAACTTTTTCTCCCAATAGAAGATACCATAATTCCCCTTAAAACTTGCACCAACACCCACAGAAGTCTACATGTTGGTCTCAAAGTCTTAATTCCCCAAATATCCCTTTGAATTCTGATTACTCCTTCATTCATTGCACAGAGGCTCGTTCTCCTAGTCCCGTGGCCCCCACAGGATATAGCAGAGCAGTTCTGAGCCCGAACTTCGCTCTGCTTTGAGGTGTTGCTGGAGGTTTCCACGCCTGTGAGCATATGTGTATCTTAGGCATATGAGCAAGATCCTTCCTGCCACTTTTTTCCTATGGCGTGTCCCTGATTACCAGCTGGGCTACTTCGAAGTGGGGAACAGAGGGACGGTTTCGGAGGCAGTTATATTTACAGCCTGGAAGAAGTGAAAGCATATAAATTGGAAATCTGCTTGATGCTGGAGTAAGACAAAAAGTGAGAGTTATAAAACATTTATCTAGATTTGGGCTTTTATTTTAAGCACACCTGTTATACATGAGAATGTCAACTGGTGCCTAAGGGTCTAAATTGGGAAGTTTCGCCTTTCCAATTTCTTAAATTGCACAAGCCAAAGTAGCTTGCCATGTAATTTTAGAGAAATTTTCTAAGCATGTATATCCATATTCATTTTAAGAAAATGCTGTGAAAATCTGTTTTGCAACCTTCTCTTTCTCACTTACCAACATAAAAAGAAATCCCTTCCATATCAACACACATGCCGTGCCCTGTCTCTTTTTTGCAAAGTATTCCATGATATGAATGTGTGTTCTTTATCAGATACTTCCACTGATAAATTTTTGCTGTTTTATTTTTATTATGAAAAATGATGTTACAAATACTTATTCAAATATAACTATAATGTATGATTATATTTTGGAATAAATCCCTAAAGTTGGAATTTCTAGGTCAAGCTTTAAATGCATTAAAGCCACTGCATTTTATTTGCATAAAATTATACTCCAAAGATTTTAGATTGATTTACACTATCACTAAGGCTGTATGATAGGAGAGCTGTTTATTTCCTGACCTACCATGAACAGAATTTCTAATTAAAATTTTATTTTAATTTTAAATTGAAGATAGTAAAAAAAGACATCTTAAAAATCAACTGACTAATCTAATGAAATGGAAAATCTTTTGAAAGACAAAAATTACCTAAACTGACTCAAACTAAATGAAACAACTGAATATTCCCATATAGCTTAAATGCATTGAATTCATGATGAAAAACCTTCCCACATAATAAAACTACAGATCCTGATCCAAATGGTTTTACTGGTATATTCCAAATATTTAAGGAAGAAGTAATGCCAATTCTACACAAAATCTAGAAAATTTAGGGGAAAGGAACACTTCTCAATTCATTCTATGAGGTCAGAATCATTTTGACAACAAAGAAACCACAAAAAAATCTAAAAAACAATATCGATTATGAAAGTAGATGTAAAATTCCTAAACAAAATGTTAGAAAAGCCAAATCTATCCATATATAAGGAGGATATTATAATATACCACAACAAAGTGGTAACTTTTTTAAGAAATGCAAACTTGTTTTAACATTAGGAGATTAGTCATTATAAGCCACCATGCTACAGAATTAAACAGAAAAAACTGTGTGATCATTTCAATAGGGATAGAAAAGGCATTTGGCAAAAGTCAACATCCATTTATTAAATAACTTAACAAGGAGTAAGCATTTGGTGTAGCAAATTTGGAGTAGGACGCCACTTGGGACAACTGTATCTAATATCAGAGTGCCTGGTTTGAGTTCCGGATCCTCTGCTTCCAGTCCAAATTCCTGCTAATGTGTACCTTGGCAAGCAGTAGATAATGGCTCAAGTATTTGATTCCTGCCACCCATGTGGAGACTGCTATTGAATTTTGGGCTCTTGGCTTCAGCCTGGCCCAGCCCTCACTATTTCAGGCATTTGGAGACAGAACCAGCAGATGAAAGATTTCTCTCTCTCTCTTCCTC